AAATTTAAAATTGCTCATTAATTTGGATCCTCTATACAGACACATACAAGGGCGTACTCAGCGGAGGGGAAGAGGGGCTGCTGCCACCCCCTAGACCCTACAATTTTATAATAAAACATAAGAATCATACACCTAAAGTAGGAAAAATATTAAAAATACAATAAAACAACTATTTTACTACAAATTTATATAATGTGGTTTTATGACTAATATAAAAAAAGAAAACTATTGTGCTTTTTTTATTGGTCAGCCCACAAGTTCAGATCTTAGTTTCGCTGTTGGACACAATGATATTTCTAAACTTTCACGCGCCATTTCCCATAATTTGTACTTAAGCCCTCTTTTAAGTGCCGACCTCAGAATTAATAGGTACTAATTTATACTAATCAAAATTAAAATTATTATCATCTATAACTAATAATTGCAGCGATCCACAAAAATGTGCCTAAAGTAGGTCTTAGAAAAATTAACGTATACCGAAACATACACAAGTGTCAATTTGGATATAATTCAGAGCCATATGTAATTTTTATGGACATGACTTGTATCTATTAGGCATTCCAAATAAAATGGCTACCCGTAGGCAATGACAGACCACTGACAGGCACAAGATAGATAGGTTATAATATGGCAATACTGTGGGCCTGGTGATTTGACAGGATCAATCATATAGATTGATCATCCATGTTTTTAAAAACTAAAATGTAATTAATTATTTTTATTTTACTATTCAAAGACTGGAAATTGGTTTTAAAACACTTTTAAGCAATCTATATAACTATATACGTATCATTGACCCTGTCAATGACAACAGGCCCACAGGGTTGCCATATCTAAACTGTCAATTCCCACTGACAGCATTTTGACAGGTCGTTGGAAGCCTAATGTTTTGGTCGATCATGGCCTGCTTTAAAAACATTTTTTGTGAATCACTTTTTATACCTAAATAATTATATATAATTTTTATGTACATATATGTACATTGTATACAAAATAACGTTTTTCAATGTGAAATTTGTTCAATTTTGAACTTTTTGACAAATAATGTCTGATGTTTATAGAGACCTGAATGAAAATACAGGCATGATTGCAGGTGGAGTGTTGGAGAAATTTGGAAACCGTTTTGGTTGTTGCCAGGAAGTCAACGGCATGCACTATGAACATTTCATTTTTAAATGTATTCTGTTAATTATTCAAACTAATCAAAAGTACATTATTGATTATTGGGGAATTCAAAAATGAAGAGAAAAATGTTCTAAAACCAAATGACGTCATTTACACGAAAGTGGTGACGTCAGTAGTACATTCAATTGTAGCGTAAGACGCGCTGTTGAAAATAAACACGTTATTGTAGATAAAATATCAAATTTTGATAATAAAATGACCTAATGACCGCTATATTCAATCAAAATCTTAAAATTGTTATTAGATAATAATTACATTTAAGAGGGTTTTCGGATAATGAATACAAACACCAAAACATTGCAGTTGTAATTTGAATTTCTGTTCATTATATTAAAAAAAAAAAAATGTTTTTAATTTCATTTATCAAAAATTAAAATTTTTAAAAACATCACCTTATAGATATATTTTTATTAGAATTAAAAGGTTTTTACATTTTCAAAATCAATGCATTAATGAGTTACTATGCAACAATAGTTATTTATGTTTACGCCCGAAATACATACAAAATTTTATGCACGACCCTTTTAATGATAATTTATTAACAAATATACAGCATGTCCCATTAGTCAATTCGCCAATTGTCAATTCGTGTTATAGACACGTAAAAAAAGTTTTAAATAAAAGCTATATGGATTTGAAATATACATGTTTTAAAAATACTTTTGGATATATAGGGTGTTGCCTTTTTGGCTTGGCAAATAAAATTTATCTTTCTTAAATAGAATTATTTTATTTTATTTTTAGAATGGTTTGATAATACTGTATTCAACCTAAAATGTTTTATGAAAATATTACAGTATTGCCAAGCAATTTTTTTTTTGAAATTAAAGAATAATGCAGACCACAAATTAATTTATCATAGTTTAGGTCGGTTTACATTGATTTTATAATTGTTTAATGTACAGACTTATAAATTACTAAGCTAACAAATAGTGATTATAGAACTGGTTTATCTTATACAGAGTGTTGTGAAACATGTCTAATGGCTAAATTTAAGTTCAATTTTTACAAATGCAACACCCTATATATTATTTTAGCATAAAATTTCTTATCTTGTAAGTCTGTGTATTAAACAATTTTTAAATCAATGTAACTATCTAATTAATGATAATTTAATTTGGGGTTAGCATCATTATTTAATTTAAAAAAAAAAATTGCTTGGCAACACTGTAAAAACTTTCTCGCGTTAAATACAGTATTACCAAACCATTTTAAAAATAGAATAAAATACATGGTATTCTTTTTAAAAAACATATAACACCCTGTATATTCAAAAATATGTATTTTTTAAATCCATATAACTTTTATTTGAAACTTTTTTGCGCGTCTATAACACAAATTGAAATATTGAACAATTACACATTAATGGGACACCCTGTATAAAATTGTATGTACGACCGTTTTAATGATCGTTTATTAATAAATAACTACTATTTTCTCTTTTTTGCAGGTTATTATTAAAGAAATTTACTTTACCGCCCAGCGATAAACGTATTATTATCGTAGGAAAAATATTGTATATGTGAAAAGTGATTTTCCACACTCGTGTGATAGTCGCGTTTGGCTTGTGCCTCGTGCGACAATATTTCTCACTCGTGTGAAAAATGTCACTTTCCGCACTCGTAATGTATGTATTCCTATATTCTTATGATATTAACACGTCACTGAATCCTAAGTAGGACTTTTTTAATACAAAGAATACTCGTTTAAATACGTCAACCTCCAAAATCCCCCTTAAGGGACGCCTATGGTCGCCATCACTCTAAGTTATTCATTCTAGAAAGTACTAAAGCCATGACGAAGCATCTAGAAATGCGGGTGAAGTCTAGAAAATGACCAAGAGACTGAGACTGCATGTTTTACGAACATTCTGTATATAAATGAGTCTGTTTTGCCATTTAAGTTTGATATTCGTTTATGCAGATTAATATTATTAATATAATATACTATTTATAAAAAATATATTGTTGATATAAATTAGTATATAAGAATTGTGTATAAATTAGGTCATACAATAAATTAGCGTTTTAGTGTAAATAAATTAAAGAAATAAACGTTACATTGGTGTCAGAAGTGGGATTTGGAGGAGTGCTTTCAAAGATTTAGGAAGGACAAGAGAGTAAAGTGCTTTCCAAACCTGAGCGAAAATACTGCGTCACTGGAAAAGAACTCCTGGCAGTTGTGACGTACGTGGATCACTTTTACCAATAGCTGTATGGAAGAATGTGGGATACTGGAGCAAGAAGCATAAATAATAGCAAGAAACTTTTACCTGCAAGCTTGCGACTGCGGACTACCACAGAAAGAAAGTGCCAACATCCATGAAAAAATCCAGGTTCAATTAGGAATTGATACAGAAAAGTTTACTCATACTATTGTCGCTGATATCGAAGATGTTATACTAGGGATTGATGTTATGAACTTACATTTAAGAACAGAGTGATCGAAGTTGGTGCCGAAGAGGTATTCCTACCTTGCCAGTAGCTGTAAAGGAAAATACAGTGGTACCTGGTAGAACAAAACCATTACAGTAGTACAACTACAAAAAACTATAGAAGAAAGAACACCTTCCATGATGGAACCTTGGAATCACGATGAAGAGATTGGTCGAAGAATTCTGATCGGGAAGGAGTTGGTCACGCCTGCTAAAGAAATTCCAATACGTCTTATAAACGTTAATGATCACCCAATTACCATCAAAAAAGAGACCAGAATCGAAACCTATGTACCAGTAACTTCCATAATTCGTCAAATTAGAGAAAAGAAAACTAAAGGAATTTCTTCTACGATATCGTGACATTTTTGTATCAAAAGGAGGAAACACAGGAAGAACTTTTGTTGTCAAACATAAAATTGACAGTGGTGACGCCAGGCCGATTCATCAATCAGCTGGAAGATTAGCATAGTCAAATAGAGATTGGAATATGGAAGAAGACATGATTATAATACCTTCAACTAGCCAATGGATCTCTCAGGTAGTTCTGGTCCAGAAAAAGGATGGAACTATAAGGTTCTGTGTAGACTTCATTGTTACCAAGAAGGATAGTTATCATTTTCTTCTAATTGACAATATTTTGGATACATTGGTCGGAAGTAAACTACTTTTTACTTTAGACTTAAAAGTGTGGCTATTGGCAGGTATAAATGGACACACTAAACAAAGAAAAGATGACATTTAGCACCTACTCTGTAATGCTCCCACGACATTTGAAAGATTTATAGGGTTATCCTGGAAAACGTGTCAGGTATAGTTAGTGGTGAAGACATTTGATGAACATATGAAGAATTCAGAAGAAGATTTTAAAATACTTCAAACTGTCCAACTGATGCTAAACCCAAAGAAATGTCAGCCTTCTAAAATAAAGTCAATTACCTAGGTCGTATAATCAGCAAGGAAGACATGGCTGTAGATGAGGAAAAAATTGCTTCCATCAAACTGAGGCCAAAACCAACTGATAAACATCAAATAAGAGGTTTTCTTGGGCTATGTACGTACTATAGAAGATTCATACTCTGTAATGCTCCAGCGACATTTGAAAGACTTATGGAAATGCATTGTGTTGAGTAGCTTATCCTGGACAACGTGCCAGGTGTATTTAGACGATATCATAGTCTTGCGGAAGACATCTGATGAACATCCGAAGAATTCAGAAGATGATTTAAAATACTTCAAACTGTCCAAATGATGCTAAACCACAAGAAATGTCAGCCAAAAAAAATAATTACCTGGGTCGTATAATCAGCAAGGAAGGCATGACTGTAGATGAGGAAAAAATTGCTTTTATCAAACAGAGGTAATAACCAACTGATAAACATCAGATAATAAGTTTTGTTGGGTTCTGTACGTACTATAGGACATTCATGAAGAATTTCGCAGATACTGCTAAGCCATTAACACGATTTACAGAAGTCAGAGAGTTCTGCTGGGATGAAGACTGCCTTTGCAGATTTAAAAAGAATCCAACCACAACGCCAATAGTAGGCTCCACTACCGGAGGATACTGATGCCAGTTATGTGAAAACTGGAGGAGTGCTTTAGTAGATTTAAGGAGAAGAAAGAGTACTAGGGGATTATAGCCTGCTCGCAAATGGCCCACACAACATTGTTCCCTTCTTGCATTCTGGAATTGACTACTCTGATTCGCCATTTACTTTTACACTTGTACAGAAGTAACATTCGATAAATTTTAGTTTTTGCTTTGTGTTTAATATCATTTTTTTATATACAAAGTGTCCCAATGAAAAGTAGCCCATTTCCAGAGCTTATAACTTTTAAACAAATAAACGTGCGGGTTTTGCTGATATGTATTATTCTGCTATAAGTTTTGCTTCAGTGACACAGAAATTATGTATTACCTACACAGGGTGTTTTTTAAAAATCTACTATTTAAAATTCACCGTAACCAAATTTTATCAAATGGAAACGGGCTACTTTTCAATGGGACACCCTGTAGTTTTCTCAATAAAATTTTTGACAATTTCGACACAAACGTTTTTAACTGTATTCTCTTCCCACAGTGAGAAAGGGTTGAGTCTCAAATGTAACTCAACCATCACATTCATTAGAAGAAGTGGATTGCGCGGTGGACTCTAAATTAGGAAGATATTCTATCTCATTTATATTCTCATTGTGACTTTTCAAATGCTTATTAAATTTGATTTTTTGGAAAAACTGTTTCGAACATATTGCGCATTTGTAAGTGCATTTTCAGAGAATGGTTACGGGTGAACGATTTCGAACATATTTCGCACTTGAACGGTTTATCTATTACGTGAGTTTTCAAATGTATATTCAAATTATGTTTTTGGAAAAACTGTTTGGAACATATGTCGCAACTGTACGTCTTTTCTCCAGTGTGAGTTTTTAAATGTCCCTCCAAACGATCTTTACGAGTAAACGATTTCGAACACATTTCGCATTTGAACAATGTTTCTTCAGTGTGAATTTTTAAGTGATGCATTAAGCTGCTTTTGTAGGTAAACTGTTTTGAACATATTTCACACTTGAACAAGTCTCCAGAGTGGATTTTTAAGTGTAATTGTAAAGCGTCTTTACGATTAAATGATTTCGAACATATTTCACATTTAAACGGTTTGTCTCCGGTATGAGACATTAAGTGATAATTTAAAGTGGTTTTTAGTGTAAACTGTTTCGAACATATTTCACAACTGAACGGTTTTTTTATATTCTGAAGGTTTAAGTCAGTGTCCGAACTTGATTTCTGGGTGAATTGATTCGTACATGTTTCATTATTTAACGGCTTTTCTGCAGTGTGAGATATTAAGAAATGATTCGAAAATGTTTCAATATTTAATGGTTTTGCTCCCGTGTCAGATATTAAGAATTGATTCGAAAATGTTTCATTATTTAATGGTTCTTTTCCAGTGTCAGATATTAAGTTAATTGTCGAATTAGAACTCTGTTTTGAGCATGAATGCTTTACCAAGTCGCGTTTAAGTCTAAATTGTTTTGGACATATGTCACACTTAAATGGTTTTTCACCAGTGTGAATTTTCAAATGCGTTTCCAATAAATAATTATAACTAAACTGTTTGGGGCATATTGTGCACTGGAATAGATTATCCACATTATGAGTTTTTGAGTGCTTGCTTAAACTGGATCTATGGGTAAATTGTTGCGAACATATTTCACACTTATACGGTGTTTCTCCACTGTGTATTTTATAATGGTTTTTTAAATTGTATTTGTGGTGAAACGGTTTAGCACATATTTCACATTTGAACGGGTTTTGTTTGTTGTGAGTTTTTAAGTGAATGTTTAAATTAGATTTATGATTAAACCGTTTAGCACATATTTCACACTCGAACGATTTTTCCCCAGTGTGACTTTTTAAATGCGTTTCTAAACTGTATTTACGAAGAAACTGTTTGGAACATATTTCACATTGGAACGTTTTTTCTCCATCGTGAATTTTTAAGTGCATTGTCAAACTGGATTTCTGGGTAAATTCAATCAAACATATTTCACACTGAAACGATTTTTCTCCAGAGTGAATTTTTAGGTGCTGATTAAAATAATATTTATCATTAAATTGTTTAGAACATATTTCACAATTGAACGATATTTCTTTAGTATGAGTATTTAAATGAATTTCCAATCGGCGTTTCCGGATAAACTGTTTTGAACATATTTTGCATTTAAACGGTTTTTCTCCAGTGTGACTTTTAAAATGCGCATCCAAACCATCTTTACGGATAAACGTTTTCGAACATATTTCACACTCGAACGGTTTCTGTCCAGTGTGAATGTTTAAATGTATTTTTAAATTTGATTTCTGGCTAAACTGTTTCGAACATATATCGCACTCAAACAATTTTTCTCCAGTGTGAATATTAGAGTGTTTTTTCAAATTACTTTTGTCTCTAAATTGTTTTAAACATATTTCACAGCTGAATGGTTTTTCTCCAGTGTGACTTTTCAAATGCGAATTTAAATCATGTTTTCGGACAAACCGTTTGGGGCATAGTTTACACGCGAATGGTTTTTCTCCGGAGTGTATCTTCAAATGATTTTTTAGATATACTTTAGTTAGAAGTATTTTAGAACAAATTTCACATTTGAAAAGTTTTTTATTAGGCCGATTTTTGAAGACTATTTTTAAACCTTTGTTATGGCTATAATACTTATTATTTCCACATACTTTGGTTATTTTCTTTACATAATGAAAGGTAAATAAATGTAACAGAAAATTTGACTTATTCAGAAAAAATTGACCGCAATGGTAACAAGTTTCGTAATATTTTCCAACATGGCCGCTGAAGTGGTTTTTTCTAGACGACCTGGAAGCTAAAATAAAGAGCATATTAATTTTGATGCACACAAAACTTGTTCTCAACAATATATTTTCAAGAATTTTATAAGTAATAACATGCATGTCGAAGATTCTTTTTTAATGGTAGTTTGGATATAATTCAGAAGCGTGCATTGTTAACAAAAGAATTAATCCATTAACCGTATCTCTGTCTTTGTCAATAACAGCCTATTTCAGTTTTTTCTTTTTAATTACACTTTTATAATTAATTAATAAATTGATATATTTCATAAAACTTTTTTCAACTATTTTTGTAAGCCTATCAGAAATCGAAATAATAACAATACTTTTTGTACGTAGTTATATGCATTTTGTAACGGTATACTTATTATAACGTTATTTTTCTTCCAACTCTAAGATCCTATATCTAATCAGCATCACAATTTTGTATTTTGTAATCGATACCCATTTGTGACATGGCCATTTTACAGTTCATCAAATTTCTAGAGGCTTTCGACGGCTAGACAGAGAAAGCACTACTGACAGGCATCCCGACGGATTTACGCAATGAAAGTACACTCTGCGCATCAAGTATTTCACTATTTCATTCAGACGTAAATGTCAGATGTAAATTTCGCTAAAACATTTCTTTTATTTTCGTTTGTGTTTTTTGCTCATTACAGTTTAATAGAACCTAAGTATGGAGTTTAATAGCAAATTAAGAGGCCGCGTGATTAACAGTCAAAATAATAGCCAATGTTATAGAGTTTATGAGAAGAGAAGGAAACTTTAATTCACCTTCAATACCATTTAAAAATGTAAATGATCGTGTTGCTGCAGCCACAGGAGTATCTAAAAACACTGTCGTCCGCATTTCTGGAGAGAAAAAAAGAATCGATAACCGTGAGATATCGGAATTTTCATCACCAAGAAAAACCATTAAAAAACCAAAAACAGTTAATGATATAGATGAAGCTGCACAAGAATCAAATTTTATTTTTTTATTATTAGATAGCTATTTTTGTTTCTGAGTTGTGTTCATTTACAGGCTCACTTTTTTCCGTTTCTCCTTTTTGATTTTATATGGGGTTTCAAGTTGTTTTTGACTTATTTCGACGTAAATCACAACAACACACTTTTTTAATAAAGCAAACAAGTGTTAAGAGGTATATGTACGTGTAAACTACAATTACAAAAAATTGATATGAAACCCATGAAACCACCAACAAAAATGTAAAGCTAGCTTCCGTACTAGAACATGGTGTCATTCGTCGAGATAATTTATCGTTTTGTTTAATAGATCAAGAAATGTAAATATTCCCCTGTTATTTTTTATAAAAGTATAAGAGAAATAAATTTTTTTCTAAATAGTATAGTTTATTATTTTGTAGAAAAACAAAATTTCGAAAATTTTAGTAATGTTTCAGAAACAACCGTTATTAATAATAGGTACCATTTTCCTTAATAAGGTAGAAATAAAATATAAACTATTTCCACGATTTACAAAGGCCTACAAAAAAATTATAGGTATTTTCCGCTATCCTATAAAATTTATATTTTCTGACACAATTTCAAAAGGTTGAAGGAATTCCAAAACACCTTTTATGGCATAATAATTATTTTCAATTCTACATACTATCTTTAGCTGCTTTTAAAAACGTTCTAAGAAAGTCCAATCAGACCAATTTAATCCCTAAACTATTCCACACTTTTAAAATTTAATTACCTAAAAATATTAAAAACTATTTAAAATAACTTGTTTAGCAGACTGTACAATAGCTATCTTAGTCACACGTAGCGCGTTCTCTGTCTGAGCGTCGAACACCTCTAGAAATTTGATGAACTGTATAGAATTAAATTTCCTAGTCTTCGTTCATTAATAAATTCGTGTTTTGATTAACAAAAGCCATCGATATAATATGGTAAGCGTTGATATTATTTTTTTTTAGATTCATGGTAATGATTATACGAAATTTATTTGTATAAAGTTTTAAGGTTATTTTTTATGGGATGACACGTTTCAGTTAACCAAAATTACCTCTGTAGAAAAATTTTTCAATAATAGCAAATTAAAATGTCTACGCCTAGAAATGAAAAGAGATTTGAGTATAAAATTTTGATTGTGTAACTCGTTTGCTACAAAAAAGGCACTCTTGATAAGACATTTTAAATATGCAATTAATGAAAGAATAAAGTTGTTTAATCACATGAAATTAAACCAAACAAACGTCATCACGAAAAGCACGCTTCAATGCTTCTAAAGGAGAAGAAACGGGTATTTAGTCAAATTAAGCATTAAATTGTACTTTTTCAATAAATTTGTATTATGAAATCGATATAACATTTAAAGTGTCCTTTTGAACCTTCCCTTATTTGATTATGAAATTGGCCCTTAAAATGTATTATTGTACGAAAGTAATTAAATTATTTTGTTTTAATAACGTTCGATTTGGTTTAACTCTTTTAATAATTTCAATCTTTCCGACTTTTCCACAATTAACTAAATGAGATTTTAAATAGCATTTATCCGTAAACGGTCTCAGACATGATTTACATTTGAACACCTTTTCCTTAGTGTGAATTGTTAAGTGTCTTCTCCAATTGGACCTCTGGCAAAACTGTTTTGAACATATTTCACACTTAAACGGTTTTTCTCCAGTGTGCACTTTAGAGTGAAGTCCTAAGCTGTAATTTTTCATAAACTGTTTAGAACATATTTCACACTTGAAGGGTTTTTCACCAGTGTGAATTTTTAAGTGCGCTATCAATTGGGAGTTGGTAGTGTAGCCTTTCAAACATATTTTACACTTAAATGGTTTTTCTCCAGTGTGTGTTCTTAAATGTATATTTAAAACGTATCTATTGATAAACTTTTTAGAGCATATATCACAATGGAAATTTTTTTCTCCATTGTGAATTTTTAAATGCATTTTCAAATTGGGTTTCTGGGTAAATTGCATCGAACATATTTCACACTTAAACGGTTTTTTATCGTTGTGACTATTTAAATGAGTTTTTAAGTTGCTGTTTCTGGAAAACGGTTTCAAACATATTTTGCACTTAAAAGATTTTTCTCCGTAATGAACATTTAAATGTCTTTTCAAGTAACTCTTTTGGCTAAACTGTTTCAAACATATTTCGCACTTAAACGACTTTTCTCCAGTGTGAATTTTTAGGTGTCTTATCAAATAGTATTTTCGGAAAAATTGCTTGGAACAAATTTCACATTGAAAAAGATTGTTATTGGGACTGAATGTTACGTTCGTTTCAGATCGATCTCTGATGGCTATTTGTAACTTTTTTTTACTAGAATACTTATTAATTATAAATTTGTTTTTACATGGTTTGGTTATTTTCTTTACAAAATGAAAAATAAAAAAATGTAACAAAAAATGTAACTTATTCAGAAAAAAATGACCGCATTGGTAACAAGTTTCATATTTTCCAACATGGACGCTGAACTGTTTTTTTCTAGACGAACTGGATGCTAAAATAAAGAGCATATTAATTTTGATGCACACAAAATTTGTTCTCGACAATAGAGAAATTCAATATTTTAAAAATCATGTCGTAATTCTTTCTTAATGATAGTTTGGATTTAATTCAGAAGCGTGTGTTGTTAACAAAATAATTAATCCATTAACCGTATTTCTGTCTTTGTCGGTAACGGCTAATAACAGGTTTTTTTAATTACACTTTTATAATTAATGGAAAATGATACGAATTATTAAATTGATATTGTTATACAATATTACCTAGAGTCGCCTCTGATAAGGGAGATATGCATATTAGGCAGGGTCGAAATAAGCATAATTTCCTAATGGAAAATGCTGTAGTTAAAAAAATGAAGATGGTACCTAATTTGTGTAGAGTTTTAAAAGTATAAAGTAAAATAATTTATTTTAATTTTGTAAATACTGATTTATAATAACGTAGTGGCCATTATAAAAATTTATTGTAAGAATATCAAGATGGTGCCATTAAATATTATTACATTATTTTATTTGTTGATCCACGTACTATTTAAATGTGCAATAACATTTATTAAAATCCTATATACAGGGTGATGTTCTAGCTAAGAAGAGCAATATAAAAAAAGAGAGTCCTGTCCTGGAATTTTTTAAAATTAAATTATGGTTTTGATTGACCTAAGAGAGTGTAACTTTTGTACAAAATGTTATCAAAATAACTCTAGCCTTTCAAACAAAATGTCCGATTTTAATTTTGGCAAAAAATCATAAAACACCCTATATCTCAGAAACGTGTAAGATTAAAGGCTAAGTATAGGGGTGTTTTGAACTCAGCTAAGTGTACTCTACCTCCCATTAAGCTGTGTCCGTTTAAATCTAAAACACCTTGTATGTTTTATACAGGGTGTTTCCGAACTTGGCGTCCAAATTTGTAGGGGTGGTAGTTCGCATAATTTGAGAGCGATTCGCAGATTTCATTTTTCCACAATATTTAAAATTAAAATAATTAAAAATTATAAACAGGTACGGTCCTGCACAGCGATAGGAACGCCTCGATTCGCGCGCGCTACGCTTAGAATCGACAAAATTGCAAATCGCATCTGTTTTTGAGGACTATTGCGCTACGCGCTCAGGGTAGGACCTGCTCTTTGATTTTTTTTATAATGGCTCTATTTTGTTTATTATTTTTTTAGAAAAATGAAATCTGCCAATCGCTCTCAAATTATGCGAACTATCACCCTTACAAATTTGGACGCCAAGTTCGGAAACACCCTGTATTTAATTTCACGAATTTTTAATTGAGAAACTGTTTTTGTTTTTAATTTTTGACTGTAGGTCCTTTTTTAATAAAACATTTAGTAATTAATTTCAAAAGTTGGAGTTTTATTATTTTGTCCGGAGTTTTATTATTTTGTCCGGAGTTTTATTATTTTGTCTGGAGTTTTATTATTTTTTCCGCAGTTTTTTATTTTGTCCAGATTTTTATTTTGTCCAGTTTTATTATTTTGTCCGGATTTTTATTTATTTATATTTACATTTCCATAAGACAAATTTAATTGTATTGG